GATTGTTTGTATTTTTTCTATATATACTATGTATGAATAATAAAAATAATATCAGTTGTCTAGTACCCATAGCACAAGCTCTGCTTACATTGGGACTAGGAGACGTGTGAATTGTCCACGAGTATTATTATACAACATTAACTACTAACGTGGTATGGGCATGTAATGCATAGGAATGAGGATCATATCTTAAGTAAGGTGTTACATGTGAATGTGGATGGTTATAAGGGCAGAGAAAGACCGAAAAAGAGATGGATGGACTGTGTGAAAGGTGATATGGTAAGAAAGGGAGTAAATAACGAGATGACTGCGAGAACAGAGATGAACGGAAGAGCAAATATTAGGTTTTTAGGTTTTAGATATTTATTCTCATTAAGAATTACAAATAATTCACATGAGAACTAAAGGCATAAATTTATACAAAATTAAATATTAGTGGAAATACAAAAGAAGGTATATATCATATATATAAAATTCTCGTGTCACAGTTTTCGTTCCCATACTCCTCCGAAACGGCTTGACCGATTCTCATGAAATTTTGTGCGCGTATTGAGTAGGTCTACCCGCATAATAAATAAATGGGATAAGGAAAAAGCAGATGATGGTGAATAGCCTATATGTTATATGTTATTTTGATTTATAAGCTATATTACTGTAAACTTTACATCAAAATCCGTTCAGTAGTTTTTGCACGAAAGAGTAACAAACATCCATCCACACACACAAACTTTCGCGTTTATAATATTAAAAAGATATAATTAAAATCAAATTAAAAAAACCATATTGACTGTCCGTTCAGCTTACGTGTAACAATTGAGGTATCAACACGCTGACATTGTCCGTTGACCGTTGGGGAATCGATCCGTGTACCGCCATGCTTTATTGATAGCCATCGATTTGTCACGGCGGCGACATGTCATTTTCAATGAGGGTGCACTTGACTGGCTTATTGACATCGCAAACTCCAATGTCAACAAAATCAAATGGTTGACCGTTCGTAATGGTAATTTAACAGTGTTTAATAGTTAAGTTGGCATTGAATTCGAACTATGTAAGTGTTTGTTAAAAGTTCATTACTAAAACCTCGGACTGTACGATATGACTTTGAAAATTAGTAATAACAGAGTAAACTTGGTATATCTGTATGATATGACTTTGAAAATTACTAATAGAAGTAAACATTTTTTATTTTGCCAAGCTGAAGAGGAAACTCCGCTACACATCCTATATGGTTGTTGTTATTCCAGGGGGTTTCCAGGGGGAACCACGTGAAGGTCTAAGCCGATATGGTAAATTGCTAGCAATGGAGTCAATCCGGTCGGTCCACATTACTAACAATCTCCTTCAACTTTGTCCAGGTGTGTTATTATTTTTGTTGAGAAAACTCTTTTGATATTAAATAATATAATATTTAAAGTTTTCTTGCATTCTTTAATTAAAATTATAAAAACTAAATTATATTAAATCACTTCACTCTCTGCCATCTTACCATTAAATACATTTTTCCAGTCATAAATAGTTTTACTACATATTTCTACAACAATTTTTATTATTTGTAAAGCAGTATTTTTAGACCCTAGGATCATTTCTTGTAGTCCTAAAAGTGTATTATGAGGAAGGGTTACGAATGTCATGTTTTTGAGAAGTTATATATTGAACTAGCTGTTCCAGCGACTTCGTCCGCGTGGAATATAACTTTAATTTTCTATAATAAAAGTAGCCTATGTTAATCCTTATGACATCAGCTACCTGCCAAAAAAAGTCCCGTCAAAATCGGTCCAACCATTTCAGAGATTAGCCGGAACAGACAGACAAAAATTGTAAAAAATGTTATTTTGGTCTATGTACCGTATTTATATTCATATGCATGTAGTAAAAAACGGTTATTTCAATATTACAAACAGACACACCGATTTCATTTATATGTATAGATAATGTATTTAAATTCAAGACCGTCTCTGTCAAATCGACCGTCGCTTGTTTGTCATATTACATATATAATAATATATCTAGTATTTACATAGTATGTAGTTGTTTAATTAAATTACCGGCTGGAGCTTTCCCTTTGCATAGTTTATGAGAAAATCACTAGGACTTGTCCACAACGTATTCTAAATCATTATGTCTTTCAATATTCAGTCTAGACCGGCTCGTAATATTACGACTGTTAAACAAATTAGTCAAATACACGAACAGTTTTTTTTAATGGAAGATAATTTTATTTATTTATTTATTTCAGGCAACAAGGCCTATATTATAGATACCTTATGGACTAACATATATAAGAATTAATATTATACAACTAACTAGCTGATACAGCAAACGTTGTTTTGCCATATAAATTAATACTGCTATTAAAAATTGGTGTTGGTGATAGAAGGGTGAATTTAGTGTTGTATCTATTTTTTAATGTCGCATAATAAAAAAATAAAATAAAAAGAAAATTGTCTAAAAGATGAAAGTTTTTGGGTGAGCCACCCTTAACACTTAGGGGTATAAATATTAGTTACAAACCTATTCTCAGACCTATTGAATATAGATATAAAATTTCATCAAAATAGGTCAAGCCGCTTCGGAGACTTGTGACTCGAGAATTTTATATATTAGATGTATATGTTGGTGGGACACCAGTGGAATATGATAAAATGAGCATGATGTCAGATCAGTATGCCCATGGCAAATTCACCAGGAATCTATTACCATGGATGCCATGGGGAAAGGCGTGAAAGTCAATCTGACATGGTTCATTGCGGCAAAGGGTAAAATTATAAATTTTCAAACACCAGGCAGACTTCACAAATTACCATATTCCTGTATTATACATGTATAAATTAATGTTTTTTTTTATGAATCAAAATATTTACTTAACAATATTAATATAGACATAAAATAAAAATACACGAAAAAAAAGTGGGATAATAAAAAAAACCAAGTGGCCCATGAGGGGATCGAACCCGCGACCTTCGCGTTATTAGCACGACGCTCTAACCAACTGAGCTAATGGGCCGATGTTTACAACATCTGAAATTCTGTAACAGATTCGCTGCCCCTTACCATTGTATATCTGGTGTTATAAATTTAGATATATTTCGTGATATCTTATTATTTATTGCATAATTATATCACGTTATTAGTGATAATGGATTCAACAGAAAGGAAAATTACCTATCTAGTTTATCAACAGTGACTAATATAAAGACATGCAATCACTAAAAGAGAATGTAACAGAATATGATCCATACTAATATTATGAATACGAAAGTAACTCTGTCCTTCTGTCGTGGTTTCAAGCCAAAACCACTGAACCGATTTAAATTAAATTTGGTGCACAGATAGGCTAGACCTTGACAAAGTACTTAGACATACTTTTTAATGCGTAAAAGGGTTGTAAGGGGATGAAAGGAGAGATGAAAGTTTGTATGGAAGTATCGTTATTTTTAAAGTTAGAAGTTTGAAATTTATTTTGTAGGCTGTTGATCAAACATAAATAAATATGACATTCAAAGTTTGTAAAGATGTTATCCTTAAGGGAGTAAAATAAAACATTCCACTGGGGCGAAGTCCCAAGTGCAGCTAGTATCTTTTATATATACACGTTACTGCACTTGTAATTTAAAATACAACATTGTATTAAAAAAAAGTGAACAAACAACTTATCTACGAATGAGATCTCTTGCAGTCAACCTAACGAAGTAACATACAATTAATTAGTGTATTGAATTAACTTAATGCCATTTTTATAAAATAATTTTATTTTTAAACATTTTGTATAGCCTGCGTTCATTGAATGTGTGGCTAACGAATTATATGAAGAAATCAGAACCTTATGATCCCAAGCAACTGTCCAACATTTGTTACTTCCCTGTTAATGCATTTTGAACCTTATTGCACTAAGATTGGCACTAAAATACGTTATTACATTACAGTCATCTGGAACAGTCCCCCAAGTTCTATACTAATAACACATTCATACAATATTTAACGAGGCAGAATGTACAAATTTATCATAAAATCTATTTTCATAACTAGCAGCTGGCCTTTACAGCTTCACTGAACGATATGGGGCGAGTGCAGATGGCATTCCAAAGCCGCAAGACTTATGTAGCGGCGGAAACTCAATTCCTACCTAACGGATATAACTTCAGTTTGACCTTTTAGGGACCGCTAGGGTTCGAACCTCGGCTCATGCCGTCGTAATTTCGATCCTCGTTTGAATTGAACGGAGAATCGATCAGAAGGGCGACCGGAAGCACAGGGAAATTACAGGGATTGCCTGTAATTTCCGTGAGCCCTCGTTCCTCACCAGTCAAAACTATACTATAGGTGTTACACAATAACCGTTTCAGTCATATAAATAACAAAGATTATTTCTATTCTATTCTATTTCAAGCGTCCGGGCACGTATCCAATAGCACCGGACAGGTGCTTTTCAAATATACACGTATATAGGTACACATATGTAATTTGTCTATGCTGTTTTTATAAGGTACAAACGACCTTCCGGCTCACCTTATGGTACGTGATTACCGCCACCCATGAGAACCCGCAACACCAAGGGAGTTGCAAGAGCGATGCTGGCCTTATAAGAAGGAATAATCTCTTTTCTTGAACGTTTCAATACCGTGTTCACATATCTAACTAAAGGAGCATGCAAATTTTAATCCCATTTTTAGACCTAATTATAAAATAACATAATATTGATAATAACTACACAGCGCCATCTAGTCCCAAGCTAAACAGAGCTTGTGTTATGTGTACTAACTAGATGAGTGAGTACAAATATACAAATATATTTTTGAAATACATACATAATATATACAACCACCAAGATCAATACAAGGAATCATACTAATGAATACAAATGTTTGTACTGTGCAAGAAATCTAATCCGCGTCCATCGTAAGTAAAATAGTGTCTTAACTGTTAGACTACCGAGATCGAACATGTTTTCTTTGTTAGAGGTGATTAAACTAATTAAAAAAAGGCAAGAATAAACTTACGGATATTAACATGTTGCTCTGGTCGAAGTAATCAGCCACCGGCATGACATTCTTGTAGAAGTTGCCGAGTTCCATCCTGGCGAGGCTTAGCACTACATGACCTAGCCTCGCGCCGTACTCGATCTGCCGCTCGAGGACTCTTTGGCGCCAACTCACCAGTACCACGCCGTTTATGGTCTGAATCTATAAGAATAAATAAAACTAAAAAAAAAGATAATGGTATTTTAGTTGACTACATAAACTGAAAAAATATATAAATTATTATCTGAATCTATAGTATATTTAAATAGTACATAAATATTTAAATAATTTACATTATAGTAAGGGTGAAGACTGGACGATGATTTTTAGATGTCCTTTTGGTAGACTGAATTGAAATAAAAATATGGATGTAAATAAGTAGATTTGCATAAGCGAGTGAAACGTCCTACAGACATAAATAATTTTTAAATTTGGATTTATGTAAGGATGGAATTATAACGTAGATACTCAAAACCACAGAAAAGGAAAGTAGTTTGCTTTATGCTATTTTATGCTTTACGGTATTTGCTACCTTACTCTGTAGAGAAAACCTTTCTATAGAATGGTCCCAAACGAGGATTGAAATTATATCGGCCTAAGCAGACGATCGAACCCCTAGAGGTTTCCTTCTGCATTTGCCCCCATTTTCATCGAATGATGCCATAAAGTCCAACTGCCAATATCATTAATATAGTTCGAAAGATTTTTTAAAATACATATGGCAAAAGGGCAACGGGCACTACAATACTGAAGCATCCATTCTTCAAAAGAGTTACTCACGAAAATTTAACTATTGAGCCTAGCATGGAAACCAGAGTACTTAAGACAAGAAAAAGGAAATCAGGTATCCTCGGAAGGCTACACTGTACGATCAAAGGGGAATGGTTTGAAGTTAGGAAGATAAAGTGACTTTTCTAAACAATTCTAAAATGCTGTTAGCCGCAGCTGGCATTACAGCTTCATCGACGATAGGGGGCGAGTGCAGATAGCAATTCAAACCCGCGGAAGGAATTCTGGAGTGGTTGAAGGCCAACTGGCGGATACGACTTTATGCAGTCTGAGGCACCGATAGGGGATCAAACATCGGCTCAGGTCGTAATTTCGATCTCCATTTGAATTGGACGGGTCGGAAGAAGGTCGGGACGACGGAAGGTCATGAAGAAACTGTTTTCAAATTAACATTATAAACACAATTGTATAGACACTTTTTCATAGTCACATTCATTCGTAACTACAAAGCTCGTTGGAAAAGAATTGCGAAAAATATTCAAATACCTACATCATTTGATGAAATTCTTTCAGGCGCATGAATCATTCACTATAAGTCATACAGTTTGCAGGTACACAGGTATTGTATGAAGAATTCAATGATTGGACTGAATTGGATGACTAATATGCGAGGGTGAGTTAGCAGATACCTGCGCAATATGTGACGTCACAATGTATCATTCAAGTAGATACATCGTAGCTACCACCCTGAGATAGTGAGGTTTTATATTTAATGCTGATGATATACTAACGTGATGCGCAATCCGCAGCCGAAATTGTTTTTTTATTGAGGGGTTTGGGCTATTGTCATGTAATTAAACCTGTAGCACTGCAACCTACATAGATATATTGTGCTCGCAAATTTTTCACAATTAAACCGTCAGGGACAAGATATGATGGATATTCTAAGGAGCGATGGTTTTTATCTCCTTAGGATAAAGGGTAAACTTTCCAAGGGAGAGATTTCGTTTATGCATGAGTGGACTACAACCACATAGGAAGTGGTCGCAACATAGGTATAAAAATTTAGTAATTTCCTTTCGATTCAAATTGCTATCAAATCATAGTTGAAATTTATATTGAAAATAAAAAAATTGTCAGCTGGCTGTAGCGTGGTGTATTTTACGTCAGCAAAAGAATTCAATAATTTCCTCTCTCCAAAATTTGTCCGCAGCAATCAGAACAGCATCGGACTTTTATTAGGCTTCATAATACAATTTCCTTAATCATCTTAGAAGTTTCCTAACAGGAGCATAATGGAAGAAAAAAGCCTCTGGATCGCAGATCGCCTATGTTAATCAAAGAATAATGTATTCTAATTGACAAATTTGTCACTGTTTCAAAGGCACGTTTCAGATTACATTCGTTACAGATTCTACTAAATGGTTTTCTAATTCCGGAGTTAACTTTTATAACAAACTCCGCTCTCTTTACAATCTTACTAATGTTATAAACGCATAAGTTTCTGAATGTGGATAGATATTTGTTACTCTTTCACCCAAAAATTATAGAATGGATTTTAATGAAACTTTACAATAATAGGTATAGCTTATACATCAGAATAACACATAGGCTAGAAATTTCACGCAAGTAAAACCGCGGGAAAGCTGGTATTAATATAGATTTAGGTATGATAAAAAAATAACTGCATAATTCAGTAAGTGCACGTGTATTTACAACTTTCTATATTGTTACTTGGCAACAAATGTGTATTAAGCAACGATGATAACAATCGACAGTACATCTTCAAGTCCACTCGCGCAATTACATTAGTTGAAACTCCCAGATGGTTACGTCAGTGTTGGACTATTAACAGTTATTAAGGTAAATTAACTGTACAACCATTAATTATAGCGTAAATCAATATCCATTCTGTTTGTTATTCTATTTTATGTCACAAAGCAATTAATTATTTAGACTATAATTTCATGTTGATGTACTGCTCGTGGAGTGTCCTGGGTTTTTTAAACTGGATTTAAATTTTAAAGGTGGATGATGGGCGTAGAGCTTCTCTGGATGAGCTGGTTTTCAATGGGTACCTAGAAATCTTTTATTTAATGGGTGTTAATGAAGCATCCGGCTGCGCGAAAGTTTTACAATCAATATATTATTTAAAAGAGCAAGTTTCTTGCTCGTTCGTCTTGTGTGTATCAACTTACCGAGTGGGTAGATTAAAAAAATAAGTAACGAGTATTAAAAACTGCTTAAATGTAAGATTATTTGAATGAAATAAAATATATTGTATTCTAATTAAAAACATATTTATGTTAAATCCACGCAAACGAAATCGCGGGTAAGAGCTATCTTACTAATATTATAAACGCGAATGTTTGTGAGTATGGATGGATGTTTGTTACGCTTTCACGCAAAATCTACATATTGGCTACAAATTTCCTTTTTATGCAAGTGAAACCGCGGGCATTGCTAGTTTTACACTATTAGTACATACATAGCACGTAGTAGGTACAATATTATCGAATTCGTCCATACATTACGCAATCGATGTAAAAGTGTCCACTGGCGACAATTTAAATATTGAAAAGCGTTTCCTTCCGCCCTTGACACGAAATTACATAGATTACATACCGATTTTTGTTCGACTGTCTTCACATATTGAATCAATAACTTAAAACCCCACCAATAGGACACGCTCTTTATGAATACCAAATATATTTCGGCGACGGCCATTTTGTTTAATTAAAACGAAAGGTTTAATTGGCATTGTTAATATAATTATGTACACAATAGTGAGCATAGTGGTTTAGTAGTTTACTACCACGGTGGATCCGAAGTTCTGAGTCCTCAGTTCGAATTTGGGCAATAAGAAAGACTGTTTTTTTTTTTAATTTGAATTGCAAATAAGCTGATGACACAACGGATGTAAGGGTAGTAACTAATGTTCTAACTAACTACAAGGTTCCACTGAAAATCAGCGTTTGGGCATTATAGCCCAGACAGAAAGCTGAGTGGAAACCAATTTGGTCGCAGCTGTATTTTTAAAATAATTAGTTATAATTTTTGTAATATGTTGTATGATTGTTTTGTATGCGCCATATATATATATATATATATATATATGTGTTTTCTTTTGTTTCTTTAATGGGGAATGTCGTAACGCTTCTAGTAGTAAACATTCACATGTAACACCTTCTTTAAGATATGATCTTCATTCCTACGCATTACATGCCCACACCACGATAGACCATTACTCTTCAATCTCTCCGACACCGACGCCACTTTCATACTTAGAGGAAGTATTCAATGTATTCATTATTTATCTTGTCTATCCATGTCACACCACACATCCATCTCAACATTCGCATTTCAGTTGCATGCAGTCGTCTCTGATCCGTCGTCTTTACGTATTTGGTTTATGACTTAAAAAAACAGCAATAATGAAAATACATCCCTATATTATACACAGTGTGTAATTTTTGTATGGCGATACCAATCTCTTCAAGGTTGCTACTGATAGAGATGATTACTGTATATTTATATACGTTAATGTTTTTCTAATGTGTCAAACAATCACTAACATCAATATAAATTAATTCAACAACAACAACAACATTGATTCCAATTGCAGCGGCATATTCTTATCTAATCTTAAAATAGTAATTTATTCCATATTTTTCAATTTTTTTTCTTTCATACCGTATCAAGCTTTGATAATTATAAACACACCAAAAAGAACAGTGTACGTTACCGAAGATTTATCTGCCTATTTTTGATGGATGAATTAGAAATGGGATATCTTTCTGCGCTATATGATACACATCAGTCAAGCAAATTAGCCAATCGTGACGTACTTATTTGTTATTTATTTTTATTTTTTTACTAGCTACCCGGCAAAAGTTTGTTTATCCATATAAATTAATATCGCTATTAAAAAATAGGGGGTTGTGATAGAAGGGTGAAAATTTAGGGTTGTATGAATTTTATTTCCACATAAAAAAAAATTGACGATATATTAAAAAAATAATAATTTGGGGTGGGCCACTCTTAACATTTAGGAGTATAAAAATTAGTTATAGGCCTATTCTCAGACCTACTGAATATACATATAAAATTTCATTAAAATCGGTCAAGCCGTTTCGGAGGAGTATAAACATATCGCTGATAAAATGCCAAAGGGGCACAACGCAAAAAAAACTGAAACCATTTTTCTTCCAAAAATGCTATCTAAATCTAGTTATAATTTTTGTATTAAAAAAAAGACACCCATGACTCTAGAGGTAACACATAGATATGCCACTTATAGATTCGTAAAAAAAGTAAAAATATCACAGTGAAAATTTTGACAAGCTCTCCTGTAAAATTTAATATTTGCGTCATGTCGCCCTTTGCATTTAATCAGCGAAATGTCTCTTCCAGACAACCTCAGGCAAGAAAGTATTAACAAAAATAAGACAGGCGGCACATGAGTGGAAATAAGTTAACAAAATTAATATAAAAAACATTGAAAAAAAACACATATACTCTTATATATAAAAAAAAAATTAAGCGTACACATGTACTCCGAAACAGTTATAAATGTATGTTAGGTTAGTAATGTAATACTATTTATTTTATTTTATTTCTTTAACTATAAGCAGAATTCATTTTTCTGGCGAGCTAGCAACAATTTTAATAAATTATCTAAAACTGTTAATCTAGATCTATTTTGTAATAATATTAAATCAAGGAGACACCAACTAAGTGAGCCCTTCTTTAAATAACAATTAATTATTATTGAAGATCATGTATATGTATATATTTGTATTGTGTGTACATTCACTATTTGTTACTGTACTCTTGTTAATTAATTTCATATTCTCTGTTAACTTTATAATGTGTTGTTGCCATTATACATAGAGATGTAGTCTGTTATTTGTGAAAGGCTGTCAGTGGTTTAGTATGACGTTTATGTTGATTTTGTTTAATATATACTTAAATAGCCTTGGTTTTCAGAAATAGAAATAGAAAATCATTTATTCAAATAAACTTAATTTAAGCACTTTTGAATAGTCATAACAATTTGTTTCTTATCTATCACTCGTTCAGAAAGCTGTCTCATCTCAAGAAGAACGAGCAAGAAACTTGTGTGTTGCTCTTTTAAATAATCCTTCCAAGTTTACATTTACAAGTCGAAACGTGTGAATACAAACTACCAACAAGCACTATTTTTTTGGGTATAATATAAATATGCAACAAGATTAAATCAGTCGTAGTGATAAGAGCACACCAGTCCTTACAAGCAGCACTCGTTCACGAGTATGACGGATGAGCCAGCCATCACTGTGCTCGGCCATATTTTAGGGAGCCCAATGACCCGGCCCACCACGCCGCGCCGTTTCCTTTAATAAATAAATAAAATAATAATGTTTACCTTGTCAGAATATTCGGCTACGTCCCTCATGGATCGCGGGTACCCGGACACGAGGTAGGTTTTCGCAGTGGGGGCCATCTTCATCTCCAGCATTAGTACTTCTGTCACTGTCTTACTTGATAAAGTGCCGAAATCTTGCATATCTGTTGGTAATTTTAAAGTTACTATTTTTTTTGTTTTTCTTTATTTATTTTAGATATAATTATATAACAATAATTCTATACCAATTAACAATCGTCACCAATACCATTTTGGATCAAAAATTTGCACGCCTGTATGCAGGCTGAATACACTGGACATTATATTCAATATTATAAACTCTAAAAGCACTGTTTTCTGAAATTTAAATTATTTGATTTGATACTATTAAAGTAGCAGTTACCTGAGACTTCGTCAGCGTGTGATTTTACTTTAAATTTTATTAAATTAAATCAAAATCTAAAATAAAAGTAACCTGAGTTACTTCCCATAATATTAGCTATCTGCGAATGAAAGTCCCGTCTCCGAAATGGGTCTAGCCATTTCACAGATTACAGACAAACAAAAACAATCTGTATATACTTTCGTATGCATATATTGAAAAGCTGCTAATTTGATATTTTAAAAAAACAAACAACATCAAACAGGGAATTCATTTTATTTGTATTACAAAAATCTGCTTATGTACCAAGTATAATACAGTATTATGGCTGTAAAATAAACATATTAATATAATTATAACTGCACAATATTTTAAATATAATGTATTCGTAGCTATATATATATTAATGGATGTAATTTTATTAACACATATTTACTGAATTATAGTAGATTTTAGATAAACGTTGAATTAGGAATTAAAGTATAATAGTTCCCCGATTAATGGCAGCCATTTTCAATAAAATAGAAGATTTCATTTCCCTACAAGATTTCACCCGTGCAAAGTCAGATCGAGTCGCTTGTCTATAATAAAATATCAGTATAACATTTATTCTTAGAACACTTGTTATTCATTTCAACAGTATAATTGAGTATTATCAAACTTGAATTTATAGACAAAAAATACAACTGTAACTAAACGAAAATGAGTCCTAATTGCAGATGGTTTAGGGTTGAAAACATGTGTGGACATAAGTAAAGTTTTACAGGGCCTTGAGACAAAACACTTGTGCTTTCTCACGGCTCGGAGTGTCTACTTATTATGACTGGATTAAAATGACGCCTATATGACATATAGACCTGTAATTTTCTATTCCCCACAACTACATACAAGTCCATTATATATTTATATACGAAACGCTAAAATATTCCACTTATTAACTATTCATTAAGTATTATAGGAGTGTATTTTAGAATTATTGTCTTTTTTATTGCGTTACATATCCCCATAAATAGATAGAAGAATCCTTACTAATATTATAAATGCGAAAGTAACTCTGTCTGTCTGTCTGTCTGTCTGTCTGTCTGTCTGTCTGTCTGTCTCGCTTTCACGCCAAAACTACTGAACTGATTTAAATGAAATTTGGTACCCATATAGTCTAGACGCCGAGGAAGGACATAGGCTACTTTTTAATGCGAAAAAAGGGTTGTAAGGGGTTGAAAATGGTAATGCAAGGTTATCTTTATGCGGTTGAATACACACTTATTATAATAATGGCTTAACTAAAAAATTAGATATTTTGGAAAGTCTACTTTATAATTGTGTTATTATGTCTATTTTCAAAAATTTTTAATTTCTGAATTACACCCGTATTGTACTAGATATGCGACTTATTAACGCTCATATGTCATAAATAAACATATATGTCATTTGTATAAGCAGCGCGCGCAACTGATTATTGTCAATCCGTTGTCTCCTTATGAATTTAAATGAATAAACGTTTGCTCTACAATTTTATTTTATAAATACATAAATATAATCCTGGTACAGCCTATAACTGATGACCCTGCTCTTGGACAAGAGCGTAAGAACATATTATTCATATTTTTGAAGAATAAAACAACATATAATATTAAAAATGTTGTCAATACATATGAACAACATTTCCTTGGAAGAAACAACATCTACCGTTCCATCCGAGCTATTCAGGTTCGGAATACGCGTTTCTCCATTCTGGCCAGTAGAGTCAGAGATATGGTTCGCGCAAGTAGAGGGATAGTTTGCAATTTAGAATATCACATCTATTATTTTGATTTAACAAAATTTTATTATGTTATTGGCCAACTGGACCACCAATTTTCAAAAGAATGTAAAGAAATGTTTAAACTGTTTATTAAATATAAATAAATATGACATTTAAATTTGTAAATATCACATTGTCACCATTCAAGGGGTAAAATAAAATAGCAGATAAAAGTTTTTATAGAAATTCGTCATATTTGAAGCTAGAACGATGAAGCTTTTTTCTTACGCTTTTTTGGGTTTTTTTTTTTTTTAGTTTATTTAATAAATACCTTACTAATATTATGAAAGTGAAAGTGACTCTGTCTGTCTGTCTTAAAAGCCAAAACTTCTGAACTGATTTAAATGAAATTTAAAGTCTAGATCTTGAGATAGGACATAGGTTACTTTTTAATGCTAAAAAGGGTTATAAGAGACTGAAACAGGAATATTTTAAAAGTTTAAGCTTCAATCTTATTTTTTTGCGTATTGATTAAATATAATTAACGAAAATGGGTTGTAAGGGTCAAAAGGGGAGTTAAAATGTTGTATGCATGTATTGTCATTTTTTAAAGCAAGAAACTTGAAACCCATTTTTTAGGCTGTTGAGAAAATATCAGTACCTACCGCCACAGGACTCAGCCATAAATGGTTACAGTATAGCGACATCTTATCATTGGTACATGATGACACTAATATAAGTAGCATTAAAAAAAACAAGAAAAAGGGTTATAAGGGGTTGAAAGGGGAGATGTAATGTATGTATGGTATGTATGGAAGTATCTTCATTTTAAAGATAGTAGTTTGAAACTTAGTTTTTGGCTGTTGATTGAATTGTATGGAATTATGTATGGAAATTTCATTTTTGAAGCTAGAACCATGAAACTTTTTTATTGGGTTAGATTATTAATATATATTTTTTATTATTTGCTCAAGGTCACTATTTTACGCGGACGAAGTCGCGGATACAGCTAGTAGAAAATAATTTATTAAAATAAACTTACATTGAAGCATTTTTAATAGCATAGGGTTTGGAGAAACCACTGAAAAATTTTATAATTGACAGCCTCGGTGATCTAGTGGTTTAGCACACCGCTTTACTATCCGATGGTCGTGGGTTCGATTCCTCGCACGGTACAAACATTTGTATTCATGAGTATGATTGTTTGTATCACTCTGGGTGTTTTCTATGTATATGTATTTATTTACAAAAATAAAATGTATCCATGTATTTATATCAGTTGTCTAGTACTCATAACACAAGCTCTGCTTAGCTTGGGACTAGATGGCGCTGTGTGAATTGTCCTGAGATATTATTATTATATATTTTATTAATATAATTCATATATTAAAATTATTTATCTCTAACCATCGCCTATATAATTGTCACTGCTAGCGATGTAACATATCATTGACCTCCACTGGTATCCCGCCAGCGTAAACCGTTAGCGCAGGCGGGTGCACTATTCCATTATCATCCATAAGAAGAGAAATATAGTTCCGCAAAATACAATTTAGAATCATAAATATAAGGGCGATATTTAACTAACTCCGTAACAAAAACACTGCTGACCTTGACAGTGGACATGCAAGTTGCAGTCACTTGTATACAAGCTTAAACATATGGGGTTTATTAGCATAAAATCAATGTGTAAACGTCATAACACCATGCGGTAAATATACTAGACCCATTTGTATTTTAATTAATAGTAGTGCTCGCCCAGTGGTCGAAATTATTTTTAAATAATTTTGCATTCAGTTTAACTATAGTAATCCTTACTAATATAATAATCTTATATATAAAATTCTCGTGTCGCAGTTTTCGTTCCCATACTCCTCCGAAACGACTTGACCGTTTCTCATGAAATTTTGTGAGCGTATTGAGTAGGTCTGAGAATCGGCCAACATCTATTTTTCATCCCCCTAAATGTTAGGGGTAGTCCATCCCCATCTAAATTTTTTTTTTATTTTAAGGCAAAACAACGTTTGCTGGGACAGCTAGTAATAATATAATATAATATAATATAAAATCAATGTGTAAACGTCATAACACCATGCGGTAAATATACTAGACCCATTTGTGTTTTAATTAATACTAGTGCTCGCCCAGTGGTCGAAATTTTTTTTTATAATTTTGCGTTCAGTTTGACTATAGGTAAATATTATCTTAATCCATTAAATATTACTAATATAATAATAATAATAATAATTTAATCTCAGGACAATTCACACAGCCCCATCTAGACCCATGTTAAGCTAGTTAAAGCTTGTGTTATGGGTACTAGATAATTGATACATAATACATAGATATTTTTTTTGTAAATACACACATATTATACATAGAAAACACCCAGACCGATACAAACAATCATACTCATGAATACAAATGTTTGTGCCGTGCGAGGAATCGAACCCGCGATCATCGGTCGTAAAGCGGTGTGCTAGACCGCTAGACCACCGTGGTCGTCGTCGATTATAAATGTAAAAGTAGGGATGTTTGTTACGTTTTCACGCAAAGACTACTGAACCGATCATCATCACTTTTTATTAAACAAAAAATGCATGTGAAGCCGTGTGTAAAACCTAGAAATATTATAAAGTGAGAAAGTTCGTGAGTATGGATGGTTGTTTCCTACTCCTTCACGCAAAAACTACTGAACGGATTTTGACGAAACTTTATAGTAATGTAGCTTATACATCAGAATAACATATAGGCTATAACCGCAGGCACAGCTAATATATAATGTTTGTGTTGAACTTGAGACCAACGGAAGTGTAACTGTGTGTTAAAACGTTATATTCCAAAGCACGGCCAATTATGATATTGTTTTCGTTTCCATTATACTTTCTATTCTATTCTAGTAACTAATTCAATAATTTCTATACAGTTATTTGCTGGGAACAATATATTGTCGTGATTATGTATTTGTACAGCGGCTGTTTGCACGAAAGGTATGCGTGAAAAAGTACCTCACAATGGTGTACCCCGTGAAACTAATAAATGCTTTTAGTGAGTAATTAGCTTAATTTATAATAATGACGACCACTATGGTGTAGGAGTTTAGCATACTTCCTCGCGGTCCAAGGGTCGCGGGTTCGATCACCGCACAAAACATACTTTTGATTATTTTACATACACACAAAATTTCAAAAGAGTCAAGCCGTTTCGGAGGAGATTTCTTACAAACACTGCAACCGTTCTATTAATGAGTAAGAGTTTCTTCTCGTAAGGTTTAGTCTACTATAACTATGACGACCAGATGGCTTGTTATAGTATGTTTTACATCGCAAAAGCCTGTTCTTGCACGTGTGTGTGCACTTAGTTCTTCTAATCGCCTCTCGCTTCTTGTGATGAATAGGATTGGTGATGAATTGTATTCATCACTACACTACTACTGCTAGGGCGTAAAAATGATAGATAAATAGAATATTTTATTTGTAACATAGAGTAAACAAGAGACTTACTAATATTATATAGTAAACGCGGAATTATGTGACTGGATACATGAATGGATGTTTGTTACTCTTTCACTCAAAAACTACTGAATGGATTTTAATGAAACTTTACAATAATATAGTTGTTACTGCGAGCGGGTACACAACTATTATTTTAATAAAAAACCAAATACTAGTAAAAAAGTGTATTCTTCCCAAAAGGGCTCACAGCGAGAAGTAACAAAACAATATTAGTTAGTCAAAAGTGACGTATAAAAAATAGATATAAAAAAAAATGAAGTTTTTAAAAAGAATGGTAGACAAGCTGCCAGTAACAATAGTTTATACATCAGACTAACACATAGGCTATAAATTTCATGAGGGTGAAACCGGGAGCCCAGCTAATAAACAATATATTTAAGAACACCTACACAATTACACTAGGCGGCCTTATTGCTGAAAGCAATGTTTTCAAGGCATTTTTGTAGCAACTAGTTGGTGTATTTGATGGTACGTACCGTTGCCGATGGCGTACTGCTGCAGGAGGTCGGTCATGTTGATGTGGACCACACCGCGCCGCTCCTGCATCAGATTATCGCAGTGCGTCACCTTCCCGCTCCCGGGACCGCCTATGTACACACAAATGACAATTTTTAATTATTGACACTGATCAAAAATGAATAACATATAAAAGGCAACATATTAATACGGCATGATGATGTCATGAAAATTATTATTGAGGGTAAAATAGAAGGAAAAGGGGGAGAGGAAGACCAAGGTACTACATCAGACAAATTAAGAACAAAATGGGAGTCGTATCGTATCAACATTTTATGAGGACGATGGAAGATCGCAGAAAGTGGCAAGAGATCCACCGATGAGAGCGTAGATCTTAAATTATGAATGAATGAATGACATAAAAATGGACCAGTTGAGCTTCTTTTCAGTTCTTCTCAATTGGAGTAACTAGCCGAACTAGGAGGGATAGTGGTTAAAAAAGGGCATAAGAGACCGAAAGGTCCTATGTGAATAAGTAATTCTGACCTGACACTGATCTAGTGTTAAGACCCGGGTAATATATATTAAACACGAAAATTTAAAAATAACTAAATCATTTTGAGTTTGAGTTGTTTCCTGTAATAGTAGGTAACTAAATTCGAAATAATATATATCTACACAAATAACTAAAAAAGTCAGTTTGCTCTTTCAAATTATCAACTTTTCACTGAAAGCATATGAAAATACATATTTACATAAAACTTGAACTTTAAAAAAGTCTGTCAGTCTGTTTGTTCTTGATAATCTCTGAAACACCTCTATCGATTTTGACCGGACATTCACTTGCACATAGCTTCCACGCGGATGAAGTTATTTTAATAATTAAATAACTGAAATTCCACGCAGATGAACTCGCGGGTAACTGCTAGTATATCATATGTATAGTGGATACTGGATCAATAGTCATAAAACAATACTAGGTTTACCTAGTACGTATTTAATTATGTATTGTCGTAGTTTACCTTGTTGAAAGTTTGTAAATCCAGTAAAAATTATGTTATTTGCCTAAAATTCCGTAACTATAAATTGTTGCCTTCATAGACCGACCTAGGTTTATGACAAAAAATATTAGGTACGTGACAAGTAGCGCTGCGTGGGCGAATATTAAAAAACAATTATTTCTTATAGTGGCTTTATCAGCTTCAACCGGCCTTCCCGAGGGTGGTGCATCTTCGACATCAAAATTGCCGGATCGAAATTTAGCGAACCAGTTCTGGCACTGGCGTACTGTTAACACATCTTCTCCACACACACCGGTCAATTTTTTTCTGGCTTGAACAGTATTTTTGCCCTTTCTGTAGTAAAACAGTAAGATATGTCGAAAATGCTGCTTATTCCTCTACATATTTAAAAGGGCACCAACCAAAAACTACTGCGTAGAATTGATTGTAATTTTTCACACACCAGCCTTGCTATATGAGCTCTCAAAGCATATAAAAATTATACGGCTTAAGTGTGAAGTTGAGTGCAAAAAATACAATTAAATCCCAAGTTAGGAAAAAACGAAATTACTTTCCGAACAACCTAATAGTATGCATGACATGCAGGGCCTGGGTTCTTTTTCATATTCTTTGTTCGACTTTACACACTCTCTTACGTGAAAGCAACATGTACTATAACAGAAGCCAACTCACTTATTTCTGTTAAATATGCGACTATAATAGCCATATAGAAATATAAAAATTTCAGTCGGGAAGACTGTTATAGGCTCCTATGTCTGGAATCCAGTGAATGGTTTAATTCAACAAAAACAAAAATAGCGATTACAAAGAGTATTAACTGTACGTGAAGATACTGTGAGTATAGTTTACCGAGATGAATATCGAGCGAGTTTCAATAGTAGCAACAAACGAAAATGTTTGAAGAAAGACTAATATGTCTGCCCATAAAAGATTTTATTTGCCATCTAACAGCTGTTCAGTTTACCCGTGATCATGACGGTTGAAACACTGCCGAAATAACGGGAACTCAATAAAAATAAATAAAACGTGATAAGATCCCGTAATTTTTCATAATTGTACATATTTAGAGATGATAGCAATCAAAATTCAAAATATCTTTATTCATGTAGGTCTATTACAGACTCTTATGATATGTCAAATCTACCGTCAGTTTGGAATGAATTTGAGATGAGTAGAACTGACAAGAAACAGTTCGTAATCTTTTTAAATATGGTTATACATGTAGGATTTGAAACTTGGCGGTATGAACGAATGGGAACGAATGAGTATGAATGAATGGAAACAGAGGAGCAAATGGATAGAAACGAAAGAGTGAATGGATGGAGAAAGGAATGAATGGAAAAAGAGGATGGGCATCGCTCTCTTCCTCGTAGACTGCCATATAGTTAGGTCGTTTCATGTATCATAGTAAATGTTTTTTTTTGTAATTTAAATAAAAGGAGTTCTATAAAATAATCATCCTGTTATTCGCGAATCCTCATTCCCACAATTTTGGGGGCTCGTCCGGGATAGAGGATCAAAGATTACTTGGATGTTAACGGATTTTTATGGAAGACGGAAGTACCCGAATTGCGGCGCGGTACAGACGGTGACGCGGACGAAGAATACGAATGTCGAGGTGGACACGTCGTATTTAAAGATTATATTAAATTACAAAAAGAATGTCTAAAGACGAAAATAAGATGGAACGTGCATTTCGCGAGGCGGCGTGGCATCCAGTTGAAACTTTACCGGTATTCAACGGGACCGATAAGACTATAACGGCGGCGAGGTGGGCGCAGGAGATAGAAGAGAACGCGGAAATATTTGGTTGGAGTGCTACACAGCAATTAATTTTGGCGAGGAGATCGTTAGCCGGAAACGCATTACTATGGTTAAAGTCGGAGAAACCATTCAAAACTTATGACGACTTAAAATGTGCTATTATGAAGGAGTTTCCTGATAGCATAAATTTGAAAGAGCTGCACGAAATCTTATCCAACAGGAAAAAAGGAAAAAACGAAAGTTGTTATGAATATATGCTGATAATGAAGGAGTTGGGCAAGCGCGGCAAGTTACCTGATTATTGTGTTATTCAGTACATAACAGACGGTATTATAGATGATGAGATAAACAAGGTCATGTTGTACGGGGTCACTACCTATGCCTCGTTAAAAGAAAAATTAGTGATATACGAATCCATGAAGAAAAAGATGTACGTAACTACAAGGGAAAGAAAACCCATAGTAACGAAAGAACATTACAGAGACAGCAGAAAATGCTACAAATGTGGTGAAAATGGTCATATTGCGACAACATGTTCGAAAGGAGTTAAGTGTTACAAATGTCATTCATACGGCCATATTTCGTCGAACTGCAGAGCTGCATTTGTCGAAAGAAATTCAAATACGATTGGGAATGACAATAAGTGCATCTCAATCACTTCACCTACGACGGGAGCGGAAGACCGACCGGAACGACGATCAATGTGTGTGAACGGTGTGAACATAGACGCGAACATAGAAAATGGCGACGTGCGTAGTGGCAGCAATGTTGACAGTGGTGACAGATGTCATTCGCTCGGGAACTGTCAATTTGAAACCGTCATGAATACGAAGCGAAATAGTTCAATCAAAACATTGGAGATAAATGGCGTAATAATCGAATGTTTAATTGATTCGGGGAGTGACGTAAATCTGGTGTCGGCAGATGTATTTTTCGAACTAAATGTGAGTGCCTAGAATAAAGAAAAGATAGTGTTGCACGGACTGGGATTGTCGACTGTTTACTCTATAGGAAAATTTCAAACAGTACTAAAAATTGATGATTGTTATTTTGAATTATTGTTTTATATTGTACCAACAAATGCAATGCCTTACAAAGTGATCCTAGGTCAACCATTTTTGGAAAATGCGGTAGTTATTTTCGATAAAGGTGTGGTAAATGTAGTTTCGAGGAATGTGCATTGTTTGTTTACAGATGACAAACCGGTTAGTTATGTACCAAATCCTCAGATTATGGAGACAGCTCAGCTTATAGTGGATCAATATAAGCCCTTACAAACCAAGGAGGCACCATTTGAAATGCAGATTATCCTGAACGACGATGTGCCGGTGGCACAGCGGCCGCGTAGACTAGCCTATAAGGAACAAGAAGCAGTTGATAAACAAATTGGTGAGTGGTTACAAAATGGTATTATTAAACCTAGCTTTTCAGAGTATGCAAGCCCATTAGTATTAGTTAGAAAAAAAGATGGTAGTATAAGAGTCTGTGTTGATTACCGTAAAATAAATAAAAAAATTGTTAGGGATGAGTTGCCTCTACCAATCATTGAAGATCATTTAGATAAGCTTTCTGTATACACGATTTTTAGTAAATTGGATCTCAAAGACGCTTTTTTCATCTCAAAATAAATAGTAACTGTACAAAGTATACATCTTTTGTGACACAGAATGGTCAATATGAGTTTATGAGAGCACCTTTTGGTTTGTCCATATGTCCGAATTATTTCACACGTTTTATCACTATTATTTTCAGAGAGCTTATAGCAAAGGGGTTTCTATTAATTTTTATTGACGACTTAATAATATTATCAAACACATATGATGAAGCCATAGATCGACTTCGTGAAGTTTTAAAATTAGCTTCTGAATATGGATTACATATAAATTGGAGAAAAAGTGACTTATTGACTAAAAAGGTGGAATATCTTGGTTATGAAATTGAAAATGGAGAAATAAAACCGTGTAGAGACAAAGTTGAAGCAGTTTTAAAGTATCCGCAACCTAAGTCGGTAAAACAGATTCAAAGTTTCATTGGATTGACATCCTATTTTAGAAAATTTATTGAAGGGTATGCTTCTATAGCACGACCATTAACAGACTTATTAAAGAAGAATAATGATTTTATTTTCAGTGAAAAACAGGAGATTGCATTCAAATTGTTAAAGAAGTTGTTGTCTGAAAATCCAGTATTAAAATTATATAACCCAGGACTCGATACCGAATTGCATACAGATGCATCTATCATGGCTTATTCAGCAATATTATTTCAAAAGGATTCTAATGATGGGAGTTTACACCCTGTGTACTACCTAAGTCGTAAAACCTCAGATGCAGAGCAGAAATACACAAGTTATGAGCTGGAGGCATTAGCCATAATAGAGGGTGTTAAAAAATTCAGGAAATATTTACTTGGCATAAAATTTAAGATTGTTACTGATTGCTTAGCATTTGAAATGACATTAAAAAAGAAGGATTTATCAACTAGAGTTGCAAGATGGGTATTGTTATTACAAGAGTATGATTATGAGGTGGAGCATAGAAAAGGGAATCAGATGCGGCATGTTGATGCTCTTAGTCGCAATCCTTATGTTACTGTTGTTACCAGAGGGTTACATGATCAAATCAGGAGAGCACAGGAACTAGATGAGGGTATAAAGGCGATTTCAGATATAATTAAGGAGAGGCCTTACAAAGATTATTATGAACAGAATGGAATCATATACAAGGGTGATCAAGGACAAATACTTATTCCCAAGGGATTAGAAATGGAAATTATTAAAACAATTCACTCGAATGGTCATTTTGGCAAGAAAAAGATGTTAGAAATGTTAAATGTAGATTATTATATAAAAGATTTATCTTCTAAAATAGATAACTTCCTTGTAACCTGCGTACCATGTTTGTTGGCAACGAAGAAAGAAGGAAAACAAGAAGGTTTTCTTAATTCCATAGAGAAGGGCATTATCCCACTTAGTACATTGCATATTGATCACATAGGACCACTCTCAGAGACTTCAAAATTGTATAATTATATTTTAACAATTGTAGACGCATTTACAAAGTTTGTTTGGCTCTTTCCAGTGAAGACAACTACTACTAAGGAGACATTAAGTAAGTTACTTATTCATCAGCAGACTTTTGGAAACCCAGATCGAATTATATCAGATAGAGGAACGGCTTTTACTAGCAAGGAGTTTGATGACTATTGTAAAGATGAGAATATCCAACATATTGTTATCACCACTGGAGTACCCAGAGGAAATGGGCAGGTAGAAAGGATTCATCGTACTTTGGTGTCAGTCTTAACGAAACTGTGCATAGAGGATAAAAGTCAGTGGTATAAGCATGTGAGTAGAGTTCAAAGGGCTCTAAATAGTACTTATCAAAGAAGTATAGGAACCAGTCCTTATGAGTTAATGGTGGGTGTAAAAATGAAACAAAAAGAGGATTTAAATATTTTTAGTTTATTACTAGAAGAAAGTAGAGACGAATTTGTGACAAATAGAGAAGAAACGAGAGAACAGGCTAAGATACAAATTTTAAAAGTACAAGATGAAAATCGGCGAAATTATAACAAAAAACGCAAGGAAAGCCTTAAACATAATATTGGTGACTATGTAGTAATCAAGAGAACCCAATTTGGTACTAATATGAAATTAAAGCAAAGGTATTTAGGACCTTATAAAGTTGTTAAAGTCAATGGCAGAGACCGCTATGATGTACTGAAGGTCGATATTGCTTCTGAGGGACCTATGAGGACGTCCACTTCAGCAGACTATATGAAGAGGTGGCCAGAGGTTAGTTCTTGAAACTCATTTACTTACCAAATTATTGTAATTTTCAAATTAAGTTGATGGCTGACCTTGTGAGGCATTAGTATTAGCTTATGGTGAAGATAAAGGATTATTTGATTGTACCTATTTTAGTACTTAGTTTATATTGTATTTGATTATAGGAGTATAGGTACTGTACCAGTTGTATTTTTTTCTTTGTGTATTATTATTATTTTTTGTACTGTGTAATATGTTAAAGTTGTGTAACTATGTTATAAGAAGGGTCATGTTTTAATTTAAGGTGTTTAGTTGTATTTTCATTCTATATTTTGCTTTAGTGTGTAGTAGGTGTGTATGAAAAGAGTGTGTTAGAAGAATTGTAGAGTGAAAGACGGACCCTGAGGTCAGGCTCCAATGCAGGATGGCCGAGTTGTAGGATTTGAAACTTGGCGGTATGAACGAATGGGAACGAATGAGTATGAATGAATGGAAACAGAGGAGCAAATGGATAGAAACGAAAGAGTGAATGGATGGAGAAAGGAATGAATGGAAAAAGAGGATGGGCATCGCTCTCTTCCTCGTAGACTGCCATATAGTTAGGTCGTTTCATGTATCATAGTAAATGTTTTTTTTTGTAATTTAAATAAAAGGAGTTCTATAAAATAATCATCCTGTTATTCGCGAATCCTCATTCCCACATACATGTTTTACTATTACCACAGATAACATAATATTACATACATATGAAATTGACGTTTTGTCATACTAGCCACATTGATCTCAAATATCTCCTCTTTGGTTAGTGGTTAGGAATTCCAATTTCAAAAGATTAATGAACTACCTATGAGATGGCACGAGATGAGTAAAAACAACATATGCATGATGACTAGGGCCCTCACAGGACATCTGCAGATTCTGCCAAACTGAAGAGGAAACGCCGCTTCACATCCTATGTGGTTGTAGCCCACTCATGCATAAACGAAATATCTCCTTTGGAAAGTTTACACTCTTTCCCGAGGAGATTAAAACGATCGCTCCTAAGAATTTCCTTCAATTCTTGTCCCTGACGGGTCTAGGTAGCGAACTTTGAAAAGGGCGAGCACAATAGATCTATGTAGGTCGTAGTGCTACAGGTGCTACACATCTGACAAAAGCCCAAACAACCTAATACAATAAAAAAAAATGAGATGGCAAAAGTGCATAAATAACAATGGTACTAATGGTAATGTTGATTAAATAAATATATTACATTTTGAGAAATCGACTTTCGGTTACTTCCTTACAAAACGCCAATTTCATATGTTAAGACCTAATATAATAGATTCATTTTTAAATTCAATATAGAATAGGATAGGAGGATAGAATAGGAGATAATAAATATATATCCCTACAGTGAAAACTTCTATTAAAAACTTCCCCTGTTTCAAATCGCAGCGGGAGCCTAAGATTTAAAATAAATCAAAATATATTAAAAAAAACTGTGAAACAAATAAAAGGGGAAAAAAAAATAAAGCGAAACTTACCCAATACGAATATGACGGGTACGTTGGGCGGCTCGAACTTGACGTGGCTGGAGTTCTGCATGGGAAATGAGGCGGCGGGCGGCGTGGCGCGGGCGACCCACGCGCTGTCGCGGCGACTTCGCTCCCCGCCTGTTGTCTCCAGCTCATCATTGTTTTGTTCTGTACGTAGAACATAAATAATAATAATTAAGACTAGTCTATCACCCCATCAAAGGGAGAATATAAAACAGTATATAGAATAATACTAATATCGTTGAACAATTCACACAGCGCCATATAGTTTCAAGCTAAGTCGTGTTTATCTGTTTTTAATCTTAAATAATCTACTATTATTAATTAGTTTATTAATAAAATAAAAAAAATAATAGAAGGGGTTGTACAAATGCTTTATTTATTATCGTCATTAAATTGACCCTCTGAGTGACTCTGAGCTTATTCATGAGGCCCATAGTTAGCGACCACGTCTTAAACTATCAAATTAATACAAATGTTTGTACTGTGGAAGCAATCCAAGTGTGTTAAACCGCTAGACAATCGCGACCGTCAAAATACTGAATAAATTCTACAGCATATATATGATATTAAAAATATATAACACCTACGAAACGAAAAAGTGCTAAAATCTCAGAAGTCGAGATTTTAGCACTTTTCGTTCAAAGCGATCTTTTCGGCCTGATAAATATGGTTATTTGGCACAATCATTTTCTTGAATACTATAGGACTTTTGTTATGTTATTTTAATATATCATTGTGTACGATATTATTATATCATGAATAAAATATCAAATCAAATTAAAATATCTTTATTCATGTAGGTCTATTACAGGTTGTTATGATATGTCAAATCTACCGTCAGTTGAGAACAAGAAACTAAGCTATTCTTTTATCGTAAATTGTCGTAATACGTCGTAAATATCGTAAATTTAGGCTGTTATATGTTCTACTCTAGATTTAAGTATCAGATACTTTAGATATTGTAAGGGGAGTATCGTACTGTAAAGAGGAATAAATCACAAATATATCGGCGCAAGGCAACCGGCCTTATAACCATTATACCTTTAGCCATATGTCCGGCATGATAATGCTCCTCTTAAGAGGACGAGCCCGACACGGGCTGCCTGCACCTAGGATTTATATAACAAATTAGCATTACTCTATGGTGTTCGATTGTCCAAAATATTTATAGATTCTATAGGAAACCTTGACAGACAAGTACTGGACAATAGGTGTATGTCAATAGGCAAGGCTAACAAGTGGATCGAGCGCCCTCGTTTTGCCTCACGGTCGGTAAAAAAACAATACAACAAATATTAGGGACAGAGAAGAACAAACTGTTTGCCAACAAGTTCACGGAAGAAGTCAGTACCTAGGTATAAATTACAGTATAATTATATGAATTATTTAATGAATATTTAAGTATTTAGGTATAGCTCGTATATTCATACAAAAAGAAATATTCCTTAGGTAAGAAAATATACTATAATAGGTAGACGGCCTTGGTGGTCTAGCGGTTTAAGACACCGCCTTACTTCCGATGGTCGCGGGTTTGATTTCTCGCACGGCACAAATATTTGTACTCATGAGTATGATTGTTTATGTCGGTCTGGGTGTTCTGTATGTGTAACATGTATGAATTTACGAAAAAAAACTATATCTGTGTATTTGTATCAGTTATCTGGTATACCCATAACACAAGTTTTAGCAAAAAAAGGGTATATTATATTTTCTTCAAAAAAAAAGTATTACTGCATACTTTTAAAAATAATATCCAATGAAATCCGGAACACTCCTAATGATTCTAATTTAAACAGAACGAGACTCAAACCTCATGTCTCAATTAAATAACAACCACTCCACCACGCGTATGATATCAGAAAAAAAATTAAAACATCCACTAGCACTAATAATAAAAATATTTTTTTTTTCTTTTTTTAATTGTACAAAAACACGTGTACAAAAGGCGAGCTTAATGCCATATGGCATTCTCTACCAGCTAACCTTTAGGTACAAATAGAAAGCGTTGTAGGGCAGTAGTGGCGAAAAACTGTGACAATAAAAACTATATAGTAGATATATAAATATAATATACAACTAAAATATACATAAAATAAAATAATATATACACGATAGATATAAAATATAATACATATATATATATATACATATATGAATATAATAAATTCAACACCAAACAGTTATATCATTCTGGCGACTCAGTAGGTAGTTAAAAAGTTTCTTTTTTAAAAATGGATTTACTCTATTTTATGCATCATGTAATTAGGTTTGTATATTTCTTTTATTTTATTATAAAAATATTTGTATTTTATTGCATAGAATTACATGTCAATTAAAAAACCGTAATTTTATCCATCGCGGCACATGGAGGCAGTTTACCCAAGATACTGGTTATAACATGTTCTATCTACTTCTATTGAAGATACCGTTCACTCTTTGAATCGCCTTATATTCGGTAATGTAGCTACCAGGTCTCGAGTAACTAGTAACCTCGATGAGCCGTGCTTTAATATCCGTAAACAATAAATTGTTTTCTGTGCTTCATAGGTTTAATGTCCATTTTAATTAGTTTACATTCCTAATGAAGCCTTCTTTAATTCGCTTCTATAAACAATCATGAAGAATTGTTTAATATTATGATTATGATTAATTAATAAAAGCGCCTTAAAGAAAAGAAAAAACCGGAATAAAGTAAGTTTATGAAATTGGCGCCCAACATGGGATTCTCTGTGCTACTAACCATTACATATACCCACAGAACTTATAAAACGGTGAATAAGCTGACGGTAAGTGGTAATTATCTCTTTTATACATGAACAACATTACGGCAAAACATTTTATGTGTCGACAGTGATACAAATTATACGTTGCCAAGAGGTCATACCTCCATATCTTTATAATTTCACTTTTTTACCTCACGATTTAACCGAACCACAACTTACAACACGCTGTTTGGCGGCTGAAATAGTTATAGACAAAGGTACCAACGCAGACAACTTTTTACAAAGCACCTCTATAATAATATTAAATTTAACAAAATATTTACTCACCAGTGTCTAAACAGATGCCCATATTCCATGAAGATGAAAATTATATACAAATCTCTTCGGCGGCAAATTTGAACACTGTCTTTAAAATATGGTATAGCTATAATTCAGATTGGCACTTATAGAAAACATAATATATATCGAAAACACGCGTCCAGTTGTCTACAGGTCACTGGCAATCACACGCCGAGGCAATTAATAGTTTATCGATTGAAGGCCACGCGACCTTCGTAAACAGATGTGAAAACAAACTAAAAATTCGTCGATTGCAAATTTAATTATCTCATCTTTTGTTTTTATTTTAACTAATCGATTTGTCTTTAATTATTCGAAAGTTGTGCCTTCGCGATAGCATTTCTGCTAGTGGTTTGAGTCTAAATGGCATGGCGGGCCGACCGCCTCCCTTCGCGTCCAACACGCAACTGAAACTTATTGTCTTCACTTCCGAACTTTACATGTCAAAACACTGTCTGTCCCGCTCGCACGCACCGATTACGAAACGAAAGACAGCGACGGGGAAGCAATTGAATAATTAATGTGACGTCCCCCTGAATGAAACGGCTACGTATGTAATTATCGTATAAAATGCAAGGTTTCCTGCAAGAAATGCCTACGAATGACTGATGGGATATTTGCTCACAATAAAAACTTGAGCTTCGCCCGCTGTACACCATTAGGGTCAGGACAATTTTTCAGTTGCGACAGCTGTAGGACGAATAATTTATTCATATACGTTACACTTACTGTAATTGATACGTTTAAAACTTACAAGACAAGGTTCTGAGAAATATAATGACACACAAATTATTTGTTCATAACAATTATTGAATATTTAGTTCTACGATTTGAGTCATTCGTGGTACAGTATTATCTTATTAAAACTTTAAATTCACGTTAATTTTTCCCATAGTTCAATGATTCATAACTAGAATATTCGGGCAGTAACCGGTAACAATCCGGTTCGAAGGACCATCTAAGAAAAAGAATAGTTATTTATTAATAAAAAAAACATTTTTATTAACTGAAAATCAATAAGCGGAGATTCTAAATAATATATTTAAGGTACAATTTCGGTCTAATCTACTATAAGTAGTTTGCAATATTTAAGTACATAAATTACTTAAGTGTACATGGATGGTCAATTAATAGTAACATTATATACAATATAATTAAAAAATAATAATTTAAGTAAGGACATTTGCTAGATTTGATTTTACAATATTCTAAGCTCGAGGTTATTTGAACAATTTACTTGTAACTAAGTATATATCGTTTCGTACGCCTCATTAATAGATAAGGCCTAATATAAGTTAACGTTACATGTTCATAATATACAATAAGTTATATCATTTTCCATTATTAACCAAGGATAGGAAACCCTTGCCTCTAATTTATAAAAAAATAAAGCCTACAAACCTATTTTAATTACTGAGTACTTTGTCACTTTTTCAGAAGCCAGAATTATGAAGAAAAATAGAAAAGTGAAGAGAGAAGAGAGGGGGAGAAGACTAAGGCACAATTACATCATTGCTTAATGTAACTATGCCTCGGTCTTACCCCTATTAAAAAAAATTGGGAGTCGTGTCGTATCATTTAAAAGATGATGATGGAAGATCGTTGGAAGTGGCAGGAGCTCCACCGACATGAACGTGGCTCTTAAATTATAAATCAATGAGCGAACCAACCAAATTTCATGCTCACCCTATCATCTTCCACCAGGTCCCCATCACACTATAAAGTGAGCAAAACCAATAAAAAAAATAGTCAGAAAGAAAAGGACAAAAGCTTCTTCTATAACTAAAATAGGTTTAATAGATGTTGACTTTTTTATGAATACAGGATTAAATATTTATCTGTTACAAACAGAAAAGCTACATAGCCTTCTAATATGTCTTTAACATAAAGAAATACTTATTTTAAGTAGGTTTAAATTAATTATTACAATATTGAGTTCTAAATAAAGTGTAATTACACGGAAGTAACAGTAAAAAAACAATTACATAGTTGCTCTATGGTTGAATAAAACATTGCTGGTGATTGGGTCATAGTAGTCTATGATATATACATTTATACATCTTCAATAATATATACACATAAAGATCTTATTAGTAAAGACTGGAAGAACGTTTCTTAATACTAATTGTATAAAACATTTAAATATTTCATCTAAATTTAAGGAGGGGGGCAAGTCCCGCAACTCATAGACCATGATGCGGGTTTTTCAAAACACATTTTCGCATACAACTTTTAGTGTTTAGGTACTCCCCCCCTCTTCCCATCCTCTCGTGGGTACGTCTATAATGTCTCGACATTGTGAGTATATTCTTTAGTTTATCTTATACGAATAACAATTCTCCATAGTGGGTTTTTCTGGAAACTTCTTGCCGCACTGCCTTTGCCACCAAAATTTCGATACTATATCAGTACCCGACAGTATTTGCGAATTGATATCTAATTGGTCTAAAAATCATAACAGAAGTATAGTTTTATAACAAATTCAAAAATCATTTATTAGTATAATTTAGCTGCTTCGGAACTTTTTAGACGCTTATGAACGTGTTTTTTTATATTATAATTTTTCCCTACTGTCGTTAACAGCAATAGAGTGCAAATAGAGTTTGGCAGTAATATTTTTTTATCAATATTGATTGTTATTAAAATGAGTTAATGTTTACGGTTAACTATAGGTACTTTATATCAGTCCTAATTAAAAAAAATACAAGTAAACTCTACTTTAGGCCGTCTGTTAAATACAATATCAGTTTTTTTTCGACTACTCTAATGTTATTGGCTGCTGCTGGCCTATACTGCTTCACTGGACGATAGGGGAAAGCGCAGATGGCACTCCAAACCCGCGGAAGGACTTATGGAGCGGGTGAACGATAACTAACTCCCGCCTGATGGAAACAATTACAATATCAGTATGAGTAGTATCAGGTGATAGAAGTATTGTAATAAAAAAAATATCTCCCGCCGGTATATTCTTTACGCCTACGTACATTTAAGATATTATTTGAATCAAACATAGCATTCCATGGATTCACCGTGAGGATGCCGGGTCCCTCGTGGGGCAGAGAGGGAAACTCCGAGCAGTTCCCTGAACTTGTGACCCGGGTATAGATTTAAGACCCTTACGTCAACACACAATATAATATGTACAAAGTTTAGTACAAACAGATTATTTTAATTCCCTTAATATCCGTTCGGTCTTATTTAAATATAAAACATCCGTAAAACGGGCAGCCAATTGAAATCGTGTATTTAAACTGACCTAGCTCTGATTGGTCGATCATCACGCGATACTCGCTAATGAACGGATGTTTTGTCCTTTTCCAACGCCGTACATTACAATATCGTTTGTCACTAGACAATTAGGTAAATACATGAATATTTTCGTTCGTAATAAGTAAAATGACAATAAATTACGAAATTACCGTTCTTTTTCGAGGCAGCTAATGTATTTGTAGCTTTGAAGTGTTTGTAGAACGCAATATTAACTGTTTCAATATGAATTAATCAAGTATTAACACGCATTTCATACGTTGAAAGTGGCTAATATTTGTCATAAACACTGTTTTGATGTATTACATATAATATTGTTATATTAAACATAATTATGTACCGATATTATTAACAATTTTCAATTATAACGAATTAAAATTGAAAATTCGTTACTTTGCAATTCTCTAGTAAGTACCTATTTTAAAATCCAGACGCAAGCTAAGTCTTATATACATATAAGTTAATTGCAAGTCGTTCGTACGTAGTCTGTTTCAGTTAAATAGACCGTACATAATACAAAATAGAATTGAGAATTGTTAGTAACATGGTTACAATATTACAGCCATATTACAAGACCTCTTAGATGTACAAAATTTAAAAAAAAAGTTATTTGTAGCAATACTAAGAAAAAGATCTGTTCCAACACATTAGGCTAAGGCCAGATACCACACTGCTTAGTTTACAACACAAAACAGAATGACCATGCACAAAAATTACTTAAACGTGTTAATCGTATGAGATGTATATTATAAAAGAATTATATGATTTGTTCCAATGCAACGACTAAGGTCAGATACCACATCGCTTATTGCTTACTTTATAGCACAAAATGGAATTACCAGGCGCAAAAATATTTAAAACAAAATCAATAATCAAGCACAATAATTTAACGTAGTGATATTTAGAAATAATCAACAATAAAAATATAGCAAAATCGACATATTATGTGTATTTTACACATTTACATGATTGTCAAAAATTTTGTATGAATATATACGCCGACTTCAAGGTTTTAATAGCTATATTAAATTGTTACATATATTATTTATTTATTTCCTGTCAAAATGTATATAAATCTCCTCTAGGCTGATCTGATCGGGTGCTGCTTGTGGGGACTAGTCTGTTCGGGTTGCGAACATTGATTAGATTTTTTTATTTTTTTATATAGCATACGCTGGTGGTCACTCTATTCTCCCAAATTTGAATTTAAATGAAATAGTATTATTGTAAATATGTACAACACTAAAAAAAAATACGAGCTGAGTTTCTTGTCAGTTCTTCTCATCTCGAAATCATTCCAAACTGACGGTAGATTTGACATATCATAAGAGTCTGTAATAGACCTACATGAATAAAGATATTTAGAATTTGAATTTGAAGTATATTCCATAAAATATGATGAGTACAATATCGATACCACGTGACATTGTGTATGCTTGTATTCAAAATATTAGCCACAAGATATAACAGTTGAAAATGTTAGTAACATTATTTTATCAAAAAACTGATAAATATTAATTACTTCAGTAGATTATAAAGCTACATATTAATTTATTGCTGGGGTTCATTTTTCAGACCGTTTAAATATATTATTTTAAATGGGTATATTATGTAGATCGGTTAGTAACAATTCTTAATTGAAACAGATAAATTATATAGGTTTACAATAATTATTATAATTATCCATTATTGCCTTGCTATTCTTCCATTATTTAGTGTAGGCGTATTATATTATTTTCCACT